AATTATATTTTACATTTTTTATATTTTAAAATGAGATGTTTATCCCCTATTTGATTATATTTATCCGTAGTTAGTTACACAAATTCAAACTGAAGCTTTAATAAGTTGTATTTATGCATAATTTACTTGTAATCTTGAATTTTAAGTAATATGCATCAATATACAATACTTCATGTATAAAAAATGATTTTTAAGAGTTTTTATCAAATACTTTATAATATAGTATAGATATAGATATAGATAACAGTTAAAATAACTACAATATCCATCACTTAACAAAAAAAAATAACGGAGTTAAGACGACGGGTCCAATCTGTAACAAATTGCAAACCATAGTAACCGTCAGTACAATAAATGAACTTATAGACCCAACCATATATTTCAACAAAACACAGGGACCAAATATGTAATTTACTCAATTTCTTTTTGTTGATATTACGAGTCATAAAGAGTTTCATTTAAGAGGGACATTCCTCACTGGGGGTAGCAGATGATGCTCGACACCTCCATCTGGGTATCCGATCAGCCTTCACGCCCACACCTTTTCCACCATTAAACCTCTTTAAATCATTCGAATTTCTTACTCCCCACTCAATTTCACCCCTTACGCATATAAAATCTTCGAGTTGGTGGTAGAAATCGACCCGCCACCATGGACGGAGGCGCCAATCTCAACACTAATGGTGGTGGCGGAGGCGGAGGCGGAGGCGGAGGCGGAGGACCCACCGTCGGTGTTCAGATCAATCAACGCCACTCTCATCGGAGACTCCCTGATTTTCTCCAAAGCGTCAATCTCAAGTATGTGAAATTAGGTTACCATTATCTCATCTCTCACTTGTTGACCTTATGTTTGGTCCCCGTTATGATCGTCATCTTAATCGAAGCATCTCAGATGAACCCTAGTGATATCCGTCAATTATGGGTTCATCTTCAATACAATCTTGTTAGTATCATCATATGTTCTGCTGTTTTGGTATTCGGATCCACTGTTTACATCATGACCCGACCCAAACCCGTTTATCTCGTCGATTACGCCTGTTATCGTCCTCCCGATCACCTTAAAGCTCCATACGAACGGTTCATGAAACACTCTAGATTAACAGGCGATTTCGATGAATCATCTTTAGAGTTTCAAAGAAAGATCTTGGAAAGGTCTGGACTTGGTGAAGAAACATATGTACCTGAAGCTATGCATTTTGTACCTCCGCGGCCGTCCATGGCCGCCGCCAGAGAAGAGGCGGAGCAGGTTATGTATGGTGCTTTGGATAATCTGTTTGCCGCCACCGGAATTAAGCCAAAAGACATCGGAATATTGGTTGTGAATTGCAGTTTGTTTAATCCAACTCCTTCGTTATCTTCCATGATTGTTAACAAATACAAATTAAGGGGTAATATCAGAAGTTTTAATTTGGGCGGAATGGGGTGCAGTGCCGGTGTGATTGCGGTGGATCTTGCTAAAGATATGTTGCAGGTTCACCGGAATACTTATGCCGTTGTTGTGAGTACTGAAAACATTACTCAAAATTGGTACTTTGGAAACAAGAAATCAATGCTGATCCCGAATTGTCTGTTTAGAGTTGGTGGCTCGGCGGTTCTGTTGTCGAACAAATCGGTTGATCGATCACGAGCCAAGTATAAACTTGTTCATGTCGTTCGAACCCATCGTGGGGCCGACGATAAAGCATTCCGTTGTGTGTATCAAGAACAAGATCCCGCTGGAAAAACCGGTGTTTCATTATCGAAAGATCTCATGGCGATTGCTGGTGGAGCTTTAAAAACCAACATCACGACTTTAGGTCCGCTTGTTCTTCCGATCAGTGAACAGCTCCTGTTTTTCTGCACTTTGATCGCGAAGAAACTCTTCAACGACGATGTCAAGCCGTACATCCCCGATTTCAAATTAGCATTCGATCATTTCTGCATTCACGCTGGCGGCAGAGCGGTGATTGATGAGCTCGAGAAGAATCTGCAGCTGTTGCCAACCCATGTGGAGGCGTCTCGAATGACTCTCCACAGATTCGGCAACACTTCTTCTAGCTCAATTTGGTACGAGTTAGCATACACCGAGTCCAAAGGGCGGATGCGAAAGGGTCACCGAGTGTGGCAGATTGCCTTCGGGAGTGGGTTCAAATGCAACAGTGCGGTTTGGAAGGCGTTACGGAATGTGAAACCGCCAGTTAATGGTCCGTGGGAGGATTGCATCGATAAGTATCCGGTCGAACTAGTTTCGTAAGGTTTGATTCCGCTACTATAGGTACAATTCGGTTTTAGATTCGTGTTCGTCTTTTTAGTTTCGGTTTGCGGCCCTTCATTGTACTGTTTTTGATCATTGAAGTTGAATCTTTTCACTGGTTTTTGTGTTTGTGGTTTCTGTTCTTTCGGATGAATTCCATATGATTCTTATCTGCAAAAGATGAGACTTTGATATTATTTACTTGGGGTTTCATAAGGTGGGTCTCAATCAGTTACTACCTCCAGTCAGAGGTGGTGCTTACCCGATAAGAAGGGATACCGTTTACCGACACATACGGACCCACAAATACGCTGACCAGTAAGGAAGGGGTTGTGTTTGGAATCGGTCGGTGCTTCAATCATTTTTGGTTGGCGTTTTGTTTGGTTGGTTTTTCATTAAGTTTTGTATGGATAAAAATATATGTGTATTAATCTGTGATTGAGAAGGTCTTTAATTTTTAATTTTTTTAGTGATTGGAATAAAAATGAGTTTTAATGCATGTCGACCCATCATTTCAGTGTTTATAAATGATTTCATAGCTAAGATTGTGGTATGGTGGAGGTGGATTGTGTTTTTATTTTTCAGCTTTCTTGTCTTTTTTGGCAACTTTTGGATATTTTGAGCTTTGTGTTTATTCGATTTTAGTGGGGGTCGCTATTCATATATGAAAGAATTGACCTTTTAGTGGGCATGTAACCACTATTCATATATGAATAGTGGATATTAGTTTCACTCTCTTGATAAAACTTGAAGTATAATAAGTAACCATTTATTTTCTATTGATCATCTTTAACAAATTTTCTATAATTTTTTGAAAATAAAAAAAAAACATTAATAAATTTTAACAGATGAATTTTAACCTTTCTTTTAACCTTTTTATAATATTTAAGGGGTTGTTTGTTTACCTCTTAATAATTTCATTAAGAGACAACTTTTGAATCGTTAAGAGATGAATATTGTTTGGCAAAAAAATAGTCTACTCTGAATGATTTTGTATCATAGGTCCCCTTTAACCATTAAGAACCCTAATTTCAGTGTAAACAATTACCAAACAATTATATTTTATTTTACATTATATCATGAGTCTCTTAATCATTCAGCACCAAACCATTCAGCAATTGCCAAACAGCCACTTAACCTTATTATTGAAGTTAATCTAAAGATAAGTTATTTAAAACCGAAACTCTCAAAACTCTTTCTCTTCTTATTATTACAACAAATAATGTTGTGGGATTGATAAACATGCATTCGCAAACAAGAATCACTGATTGCAAATAAGTTGCAGCAATAACAAACAAGCAAAAAAAGAATATTTAAAGCATAAAAAGGATGAAGCAGCAAACAGCATATTATTGTCTGAGTGAAAACTGGATCTCCTCCAATGTTTTGCCCTTTGTTTCTGGTACCAACATGCCCGCAAACACAACCGTCCCCGCACACATTACCATGTACAGAGTGAACGTTCCTGAACCAAAACAAACCCGATATCCATTATGCTTATAACTGCATCAATCAATAGAAAGTAACATATATTCGCTAGACACAGACCATTATATATGTATACAGAGGCAGGTTCAAACGAGAACAATACCTAGACACGTATGATTTTCCATTAACAGTCAACAAGAGGGTGTGTGGGCGACGTGGCTCACGACCTCAGGTCACATATGATTTTATACATGATTTTAGTGTAAAATCACATGTGATTTGACCATTTTCTTATTTTCTTATTTAAGTATTGTTCTCGTATGAACCTGACTCTCTCTCTCTACCTCTCTCCATATATATATATATATATATATATATAGATAGATAGATATAGATATAATATGTCAGAACCGGTCTTTTAAAAAAAGATGCAAAAGGGTTCCATGCATCCTAATATTGGTGGTGGTTACAATAATGATCTCAAGTAATTTTCGTTATTAGATGTGTTACTGACCTCCACCGCTCCACGCTAAAAGCAAAGGTGCGGTCATTGTAATCACCCACGCGATAAACCAATTGGCTAATGTTGCTATACTCCCAGCAAGTCCTTTTATATTCACAGGAAGAATCTGCAACATTCACATATGAATTTATAAACATCAACTACCATATCACTTCTTGGTATCAAGGTTATTGCACCAAGGGTTTTCAACCAGGAGGGTAAGACATACGTAGACCTTACATCTACCCCCAGGGGTAGAGAGGTTGTTTCTATGAAGACCATAGGCTCACAAAAAAAAAAAACAGGGAACAAATGTGGTAATTAGCAGCGAAGTGTGTGCAACCAAACAGGTATGCGGTTAAACAAAAGGAGGAACACTACGTCTAGCAAATAGTAAAAGCAAGAAAACAGGCTGAAAAACAAGTGAAGGGTCCCACAAGTAGATGCATAAATAGTCCCACATTTACATTCAAGAATCAGCTTTTTGTCCATCGAGCCACATGAGCCCAGGATTAATAATGAGCAGAGTCAAGCTACCTCAGACAATTGCAGTATCACGTAGTAGATTAAATATAGTTACCTCGGACATTATAAGCCATGGGATAGGCCCCATCCCAAGAGAAAACGCAATTACCATGCCCTATTGAACAAGTTGATCAAACAAGATAAGAATTTGAGAGGGGAAACATATCAAACAATCGGGCATAAAACTTTGTGATCACAATAAAGACGTACCACAACTCCAACCACTGATAAGATACCCATTGCAGCATACAAGGAAGAACTGTCTTCCACAAAACCCTGCAATGTTTTCCACAATATTAGAACGAAATCGATAAATAAAAGAACACATTACTTTTCCCAAGGTATATTGTGGGTTAATTCAAATAATGAGAAAAAGAAACAAAAAGATCCATTACCTTAACGAAGAAGGAAACCACAACAACTACGAGACTGAGACTCATGCCAGCAGAGGAAACCTACAACAAAGAATTTCCCTCCTTTTAAGTTGATCTAGATAGAAATAAACAAAACCAAACCAAACGAACCCAATATAGCCCACATAGATGTGGATTCGGGGGTAGGATCTAGGCAAACCTTGCCTCTTACCCCGAGGGTAGAGAGGCTGTTTCCATGAGTTTAGTCTAGATATAAGTGTTTGCATTATGTAGTAACATTGGTTCGCTTACAATTAACAAAATCCTACGGCCCGTTTTGTCAACCAACCACGTGGAAACTCCCGTTGCAATAACCTAAATGGCGCAATATTATTGGTTAGAAAGTCGTTTAAATTACAAAATAGGAGAGGAGAAATTGTTACAATTAGCTGTTGATGCTTACTTGGATAGCCCCAAGTCCAAATGTAGCAGCATCACTGCTAGAGATTCCTGTCCAGTTAAGAGGTATCAAATTAAAAATAAGTTTTTTTGGAATGCATTGCTATTTTCAGAACTCATATTATCTAGCAAATATAAAATAGATGCTTTTATACAGTTTTTCCAGTAATACCAACCAATACTCTAAAACATCATGGGAACGCAAATGAACAGGAAAGCGAACCACTTTAGCCATAAAACAAAGTGGACTACTTGAGCTGGCAAACCAATATACAATTAACTATTTTGGCTGGTTTGAAGGCTATAAAAATGAAACCCAAATGGGTAAGTTTTCAACAATTTTCCTCACCGTTAAAGAATACATTGCCTATTCGCTTTCAAAAGTAAGTGCCTACTTTCTAATTCTACCCTTGATGATGGGATGGAGAAATTTATTACTCCCTCTATTAGCAAGAGTGAAATTGTCAATGTGAATTTATTAATGTAATAATTATACATTTATAAAGATATGTGCCTTTTTCAATGTGCACACTTATTTTGGGACGGAGGGATAAACGAGTTGACAGTCTGATACTGTATGTTGGAAAAATAACCAACACCGACTCTGATGCCATACAATAGCCTAGTAGTATACTGACCTGCAGATTGAAAAATGTTACTGGAATAGAAGAGAACACCATTGATTCCGCTCAACTGTTGAAGAACAAGTAATCCGATTCCTATCTGCAGGAATTGGAGTTTCCCAGAGATCACGACCGTTAGCATCAGAAGACGGAATGCAAAAGAACAAAAGTTACAACTACTTACCATCAGAGGGAACCAATATCTTCTATGTTTGAGATCTGAAAAACGAATTGCACTTCTTCTGTTTGATGATGCTACAGACCTCTGAAATATGCAAAACATTGGCCACTCACTGTTATATCAGGCTTCACAAAGATAAGGAGCTTGAAGGATGCTTTTCAGCAACAATAGGTGTATTCAGTGGAATCGTTTGATGAACATATATTTAAAACAAGTATTCCAGATTGAATATTTTCACAGCACTTAACATCAAGAGATTCACCTTAATTTCATTTACTTCAACGGTAATATCAGTATCGAACCCACGAAGAACTTGCAAAGAAGATTCGAAATCATCAGTCATACCCATCTTTGCCTGGAAGATTGAAACACCATTGCTCAGTAGTCACTTGCTATTGAAAAAACTCCAACCATAGGAAAATATTTAATTAAGCTTACCAGCCACCGAGGAGATTCCGGAATAAAAAAGAGACCGGGTATCAAAATTAAGCAGGGCAGAGTTCCTGCAAAAGGAAATATGGAAAAATGTGACACCAATTTTATTCCAATTTCTTTTTTGTAATCGTGGGTGTCTGGGTCAGCTTGCGTGCACCTCGACTAATCCCTTGGACCTTGAAATAATAGCCTAGAAACTCCCAATGGCCTTGAGGAAACTCAAACTGGTCACTTATGGGGAGGAGCCCCAAGGCCTAGCCTTTATTTTCCGGTTGAGTTCACCTTCAAGCCTTTATTTTATTCCAAATTTTGGTCGACTCTATTCAGATTATTGGGTTCACCGCCAAGAGGATTTGACTTGGTAGTCATTACCAACACATCAACTAGGGTAGTCATTAATAGAAGTTACAAGCCAAAGGAATCCTCAAATTGCTCTTTTCAGCTATGGTTCCTTTTTCTCCCAGTTTTTCCCATGTATATAATTACTTTATATACGTTTACATTCTAATGAATGTATGGGAACCCCACACCCCACCTCCAGGCGGGATATATTACGCTCATTTGATTTGGTTTAAGTGTACATGAAGTTTTTTAGCTCAAAACCCTGAATTGTAAAAAGGTCTTAAGGCCTGCCATATTCTCACTCCCATTCGCGCCAAAATTACATTGTGGAAATGCTAATGACTTCCATGCAAGTATTTTATTGTTTTCCTTATTTATTTTTCTATAATTTATTTGCAAACGCACACTTTGTTTAAAAAAGAACTTAAAGACAAAATGGTTACAAATTGGATCTGTTCCCATTTGGCTTGCAATATGGTTTGGGTTCCCTGGCAGGATGTGGAGAGATATGCGACAAGGTTACCGTTTTGGATAATGCACTACCTAATCTGATCTTCCCCATTACCATCCCAAACTTTTGACATCATTTGGCCGAAATGAAGCTAAAAGTATTCTAAAATCAGCTCAAAGATCACTTAAAACAATCAGAAATAAGAAAGTATTACCCAAAATTGCAAGTATTCTCCAATTAACAAGAAGTCCAAGCAAATAAGCAAGCATTATCCCAACTGTGACAGATAGCTACAAACACAAATATCAAAAATAAATAAGAAAGTAAATCTTTTGACCATATGAGGTGATCGAATCAAGGCACCACAAATTCACATACTGAACTTCTTCATAGAGTTTACCTGATTGACGGAGCCTAGCCCCCCTCTCATGTTTTGAGGCGCAATCTCAGCAATATAAACAGGAACCTTCCAGAAACAGAATTCATATCATTATGCTTTTTGCAAACAACCTCTTTATAACAAATATTAGATGAATATGACTTACTGTATACGATATAATCCCAACACCAAAACCTTCCAACAACCTTCCCATGTAAAGAAACGATGTATCCTATGAAAAACACCGCCATTGTGACTACACGTTAGGCTTTTAAGAAACTGCAGATATGCAAAAAGTAATTAAAGAACCAGCTATTAGGAGCTTACATTGGCAAATGATATGCAAAGCCAGCCAATGATATTAGGGATAGCTGCAATCATCAAAGACTACAATTTTGATGGCAGAAATTAAAATCGTCATTTGAGCAACACAATCCAAACAGTAACTAAACTGAATATCTTGCATTTTTTCCGATCTATTGCATTTATATAATGCTGTTGAGCACAAACAGATACATAATTAGCTAAAATAAAAGGCAAAGCATACCCCTTTTCGGCCAATATACTCTGCAATTTGACCACTAGCGATTGCACCCACCATGGCACCCACATTTGATAAAGAACCAAACAAAGAGAACTGAAACCCAATGCTTCAAATCAGTTTATCTTCATTAGATAAAATAAGAAAATCATAGTGGGGTGGATCTCTACAACGCTCGTGTGGTTGTGAAGTCCAAAAACTTATAAGCTTTTAAGGAACAAAAGAATATGATTAGCAAGCAAACCTCAGAAACCGTAAGCTTTAGATCGCGAGTAATAGCCGCTTGTGTAGGTGAAGAATAACCACCCTGAAAGAAGAAAAAACATTAAACAGAATTGAATTACATGATCATTCCTGTTTCCCCCCTTTTCATTCCATGAAGACGTTACCTAACTCTAGATGTGAAATGAGTCAATCTTCAACTTCAAAATTGACACGGATCTTATGCTATTTTTGGTAAAATTTTGCTAATTACATTGAAGTTTATCACAAGCAATTACAATCAGAAGCCAAAACGAACTGTCATCAAATTTGCAAAAACCAAAATCCTGATCAATTAGGCATCCGAAAGACACTACGTTTCAAAAAACACACAGTTTGACAGGTTCTACTTGGATTGCTTACAGTGAAACCGAACTGGATAGGGCCTAAAGCAACGATTAGAACACAAGCAAGCACAGAAACTGAACGGTCTCTGATCATCTGAGAAGACGTCATCATACTGGATTGTCTTGAACCCATACGATACCAACTACCCGTATGAAGAAAGGGTTTTCTGAGATCCCTATCGGCTCTTCCATCTTCACTTTCATCCCTGAAACTCATTGCTGCTGTGGATTTCTTAGATCCTTCCTTGTGTTTTGCTGATTGCTATGTATATACACGATTCCACTACATAAATCCGATTGTCGAGCTTCCAGAGAGAAGAGCAGGAATTGGCGAAGAGGGTAATGATTTGAGAGCAGCGGCGACGTTGGATGACGTGAATATAGATGATGATGGGGTCCGTGGTCTCTTTGAGCTGATCTTGTTAGACTTCATGAATCCATATTTTATGCGGCTTATGTTTTGCTCCCTCCTTTAAATGATTTAATGGCAGTAAATATCAAATATTTATAAAGATTTTTAAGAAAATGATTAACAAATATGGAGCCGTTTATCAAACACTTATTCGGATAAACGCTTACCAAGTCACATGACCTCATCGGATGAATATGGTAAGGACCAAGAATTTTACCCGATAAAAGCGAGACAAGAACCATGACTCTTAACCGGTAAGTGATGATGACGACTCTTATCACGGTAAACGCTTACCAGGTAAATTGTGGCATACTAAATATGTTATTTCCTATTATATCTACTGTAAATTGTAGTAAAATATTTGTGAAATTAGCTCAATTGATAATAAAACTTAGATCTTTTGGGATTTCCTTGAAAGGTTATCGATTCGAGTTCTGTAAAGATTCACAAGATTTTCTTAACTGTTCTCCAGGACCACTAGTATTAATCGAGATGCCCACAAGTTGGTCCAGACACCCATAGTTTACGAAAAAAAATTATATGATGATATTTCTAACACGTGCTTTAATCAAATTAATAAAAAAAAAGGACAAAATAAATGAACGGCGAGAATATAATTGACAACTTCCAAAAAGAGACATGGGATCCACCAAGTGAATTGGGGACGTGAATGTCTTAATCTACATCTAACAAACAACTTTAGCTTATGAAAATGTTCGTTCATAGTAGAGATTGATATTTATGAAAACAAATCAAGTATTAATGGAGTATACCGTAAAGCTGGTTGTTGTACTTTGAAGTCATAATATAAATTAAACAATAGAACTGATTTTTGACGGTATGTTTAAAATCAAACTGTTATTCTTAGCTATAATCAGATATTTTGATTATTTAACGAGATAATGTATAGAAATGAAACGTATTTCTTATTTAAGAGCCATTGGTTCATGAACCATCGTTAGCCTCAACTGTTGAATGAACCAAAAAATGTCTCGTCATATTGGTGTTTGTAGCGGCAGGTTCCATATGAAACCGGTTGAAATTGTTGATAATCAACTTTTTGTCTAAATTATGGATGCTTTAAAACTACGTGATCGCTACATTGATAACGGAGGTATTAAAATAGACAAAATTTTAAGCTATAGACCTAAACATAAGGCTTAGATTTAACTCGAAATATATCACATTTTATGATTATATCTTATTAATTAGTTTATTACAATTTATAGTAACTTAGGGACTGTTTGACAGTTGCTGAATGATTTGGTGCTGAATGATTAAGACTCTTATGATATAGTGGAAAGTGAAATATAATTGTTTGGTAATTGTTTACAATGAAATTATGACGCTTAATGATTGAGGGAGACTCACGATACAAAATCATTTAGAGGGTTTTAGAATCATTAAGAGCCATATTTATTTTTTGTCAAACAAAATTCAACTCTTAACGATTCTGAAGCTGCCTCTTAATGAAACTATTAAAAAATATACAAACCACTTGGTGAAATGAAAAAGGAACACCATCTTGCATATGTAAAACACCAACAAGAAGTATCACATGGACAAGTATTTGATTTTATATGATGAAACACGTGAAATGGTCACCTTATTGTAAAACTATTATTTTATTTAATTAATGATTTGGTTACAACTATTTATTTATATATTCTCAAAATGATTTTATAGATAAAAAATAACATCGTGTAAGTTGATGAGAACGATATGAATGTGTAACATAAAAAAAAAAGTAAAATAACACTAGCATTTGATCGGGACCAGTTAAGACTATTGAACCTAATTGTTTATAGGTTACAGACCAATGACCTTTTAAGGACTCGATCCATCCTTAGAAGAACCAAATATGTTTATGTTTTGCATCAATGGGATCAGGTCCATGAGGACCAAATCGGAGACTGATCCTTCTGCATCTGTAGATTCACTCATTTGACACAGGGAATGAGTAGTCGGAGTAGAGAAAGGTTAGGGTATGTTTGAGCCAACTAGACTATATTTAATCTCGGTAATTAATGCTTTTAGTATTTTTATCCGTTCTAATGTCTTAGTTCGGTATAGGAGGAACTAGAGGTTTTATACGTTGGTGTGATTTCAGTTAGGGGTGCTCAAAAACCCGACCAAACCAACCCAACCCAACACGAAATAACTCAACCTGAAGCAACCTGATGTCTAATCGAGTTGTAAAATTGTCAAACCGTAGGTATTGAGTTGATATTGGATTACTATTATTTGAACCCAACCCAACCCGATGAACCCGATATCCTTTTATTTCTTCGATTTAATATGATTGTTGAATTTCTATTAATATGTACATTAGACAATTACACTATCATGTATGCTCTTCATATACACATATTTTCAATCTATTCACATCTTTATATAACTCATTCATATATATGTTCAGTAAATTTGAACATATATATATATATAAATTGAGAAAATTAACTGAATGTGATATACGTAAGAAGTATGAATAAGTTGTATCAAATGGTTGATTATGAAAAAGAAATTATGAGTAGAGAAATAACATATTCTAGGTTAGAATAAATTTAATGTACCAAAGTATCAACCCGACCAACCCGTACGGGTTGGGTTGGGTTGGGTTGCACTTTGGTTCGAGTTGGGTTGGGTTAAGATTTTTCAAACCGTAAGCATTGGGTTGGGTTGTTTAAATATCTTCAACCCAACCCATGAGCACCCCTAATTTCAGTTATAAAAACTTCCCTTATGAATTGTGATTTGGCTTTTAGTTTTAGAGTTTTATTTATCTTGTGATGTAACTATTGGATATTGAGAGCTTTATGTGGAGAAAAATGTGACGTCTTACGGTGAAAATGAGGGTGTTACATAGCTATAAACAATTTCCTCATTCTTGAGCCTAACATTTACAATTCTCTGCCACGTACAACATGTGATGGACCTAAACAAGTTTTGATAAACACCTGAGAAATTTGATTCTAGACATCTTGATATGTAAAACTTCAACCGATTGTACCATTTTGACCATGGTCGCATGCGTACCTTCAACTGCGATCAAGCCAATTCAGTTCTTTATCCCATGGATCATATGTGCACCTCGCCCTAACATAGTCCCACAAGGGCCATTACCCGTAAAAGAATTACCACTAGTTGATATGAAGCAATTATAAGTAATGTCGTAAAACTGAATTTTAATACCATCGTGGTTAACATGTCTAGAATTTCTCAACAGTGTGCACCGAGATCACTTTTTTTTTATGACATCTCATACAAAGTAATACCTGACATTTACATGTTCAGTACAAGCAATGCTAAATACGTTATGTCCCATCAACATCTATGGTAAGTTGTAATATAAAATGTGCGGTTTATAATGTTTTGAATTCATAGGAAACATAATCTATTTATTACGGTTTTCTAAACATGTACTTTAAAATCAAATCGATAAACACAGACATATCAACATGAGACAGCATAATTGACAACTTTCGAAAGAGTCTGAAGACATGGGATCCACAGAATTAATTGGGGACGTGAATGTCGCAATCTAACATCTAATAAATATATAACATTGACAACATTTGTTTATCAACTACTAAATTTTTTTAACCTATAAACAAACACCTAAAGACTTATAAAACCTGTAATTGAACAGGAACGTCTGGTTATATGTAACACCCCAAGATCACATTTACATATAAACATATATTTTCATATATCAAAAAATATAATCTACACATTCGATCTCGATATCTTACATATTGCTATATTACAAAATAGCTAACAATTTTTTTAAAACAACATTATACAACATATGAATACATAACAAGTATTCAGATACAAAAGAAGAATATGCTAATGCATTAACCCATGCAAGCATAATATATTACTTCATAGTTTCCCGTTTCCCTTATCTTTTGGTTGCACCGACCTGTAATGTACATTTTAAAAATATAAAATGAGGGTTAGACCTTGAGGTCTAGTGATAAATCCCTTTGATGCTATTACAGGGTGAATAATCACCAAATCACATTTATGAATTCATATTTGTAAATTAACAAATATAAAAATTATTAAATTACTTAATAAACACATCTTGAGTAAACTTGTCGCATCATGTAACTTCTCGCATGACATGATGAGATAATCTCATTTCCTCGCAACACACTGGTACGAGGACCATAATTCATCGCATCACATTGATGCGATAAACAATCTGTTCGCATCATAGGGTGCGATAAACTCAATCCTCGCATCATATGGGTGCGATAACTACTTTTTATCGCATTAATAGGATGTGATAACTCTAAGTTATTGCATCACATAAATGCGATAACCATTAGTCCTCGCATCATAAGGATGCAATAACATTGAATATTTTGATCAAAAACCTAGATTTTATAATTCATTGATTATGCCACCCTTATCCTGGCATACACATCTCCTTGATATGTCAATATTCCACTGTTATAACCAAAATACATTTTTTCTTGTTATGTCACTCTTATTTCAACACATGATATAATATAACCAAAAACCCATGTTTATGCTATATAACATTCAAAATAGTTTTATATCAACAATTCACATAAAGAACCATACGGTTTTACCTCCAGTTTCCAAATAAGAAAAGTCAGTAAAATTAAACTCACCTCATGTAATACATGTAGATGAAGATGAAATAGCAACAATTTCTACGTAGAAATCACATAGTCAATTTCGTTCTTTCCTTCTTAAGTTTCTGTTTGCTCGAGCTCGAAAACGAAACACACACACACACACATACCAAATTTCTTATCAACTTGATCAAAACCCTTACGAGATAATTAAAAATATCTCATAATATACCAATATTAAACAAGTAAGCAATAAGCGTTTTAGAACAGTTTAAGCACATATACCCAATTAACCCCTCAACTTACCACCTCTTTAAAAAACAACCCCGAACTTTATAACCGAAAAACCCAATTATCACATTCTAGCATGAATATTTTTATAAAAAAAAACGTACATAACCTCGATCCATTGTGGATA